CACTGTGATTGGTCATATTTTCATGTCGTTATATATAATCGCTTCCACACAATAGGCTTGTCAGAATTTTTTTCAAGTATCTAACTTAGCTTAAAGCTCGGCAATTAATGTCCTTATTTGGTATTTTGATTCGTTTCAAAATCTGTTCTACTGTTCTGTGGGAGTTCATTTTAGTTTAATGTGGTTGTGTTTTTATTAAAGGCAACCACACTCTATACGTCTGACGGAGCGGAATATTTAGTGAATATCAATGGGGGGAAAGTGTAAGTCTGACGGGGTTATTTTAGGTCAGCCATGTGACTATTCCTCAGGTAAGCGAAAGTTACCAAATTTGTGGTAATATTTAGTTATATTCTATAAAGTAATCATTGTCCACTATCTTCATCTTTACAGGATTCGTAACGATTAACTTGAACAACGCTTCAGGATGCAAACTTCTCAAAATATACGATCCCCTTGTGACATATACAGTGTACTTTGCTCCAAATTGCCGATTTTTTATTCCGAAAGAAGGTAAGAATATCCGTATTACACAGATTGGGGATATTAAATAACAACATGGTAGTACGGGTGAGAAAAGGTGAACCCACCTTTATTTCAAGATAAATAGTCAGGATTTATTTAACAGTTCAAGACTGATACGACCAAACTAGAGTGATATTCCTTGGAGCATATTTTAGCAAGCGGTTAATCCGAGTGAAATTCCATGTCATTTCGAGCACTTAAAATAATACTCAGTTGAACTTCTCTGCTTTTATTGGTGGAATGTACAAACGTTTGCTGAATATATTTAACAATCCACAGGTGAGGTGGTTGTGCAGCCCTCAATGCCTCTTTATCGATTTTTGAAAGGAAAGCAGAAAGTCGAAATTGAATTTGCAGTGTTTGGAGCCAAACAATCTAGTAAGGTAAGCTCTTAATTCATTAATCAAGCAGAAAATAACATTCAAATTTCCATATTTGTTTGTTGTATATTAGACACTAAGGAAAAAATTTTAATAAGTGTATTAAGTAGGTGTAAGCGGATGAAGTAACTTGGATTTTGTGGATTTTGATGCATGGTGATGCCGTGCATTGGCCATGCAGCATTTGACCCTTGATATAATAAACCAGTATTCGACTCTAGATTTTACTAAGAAAAGAAGAAAATAGACTGTGCTCATGGAATGGAAATGTCGAACAAACGAAAAACAAAGGGTGTAGTAAGTTAACAGCGACTGTGAAAGCATTCGCATCAAGTGTAATGCGTTGAAAGTCGAAAACAAATAATTGAATTTTAGAGGATATGACAATAGATGAAGCTCAAAATCGGATGATCTTCAAAGTTACTATTTCTCGTGACAGCAATGAAGATTACGTGACGTATTCCTGGGGACCTCCTGCTAAACCTTTAACTGTTACTCTCGACTGGAATCGAGAAGGTAAACCTAGGTTTAAATATTTTATCTTTCTCTTACTTTTATCGGACAAAAGGTAGTCAAAAGTAATGCATAGAATTAGAAGTCGTTTAATCAATTAAAACTATTTCAAGAAGTAAAATAATTTAATGCATTGATGCAATGAACTTGGTTAATTGCTCTGATTTGAGATTTGTTCTTATTTACAATGCTACAGGCGAAGCACCGGAGGTGGCAGAATGCAAAAGTAGGTTTCATGAAAAATCATCACATCGTACTATTCGCGTCCTTATTCATTAAAATAAATTAATAGGCCTTGGTATAATTAAATTTGCTCTATTTTATCGAAATCTTCGCATAAAATCCAAAGTTTTATAGACGAGACTTCATCCTACACTTCTTTTGCCTTGTCCCCACCCTTCCACATTCGCGCAGCTGAAATAATATTTCCTACTTCACATTGTTCTCTACCTTTTTTCTTCGTTGCTCAATGAGTGTAAGCCTTTAGCATTCTAAAACTACTGTATTTGATCGTGTACATATTGATTGGCGAAAGATATTACATTACGCTTTTGTGTCAAATTAATTTTGTACCTCTATACAAACACACCTACTTTATCCACATATGTCTTCGTTTTGTAAAAGTCACTGAAACACAAAGTAAGATTTATAATGAGCTTAACAAATTACTCACAGTCTTTGCACCTACCCATGGGATTGAGGGTGTTGCATCGCGCAAGTTTATTTTTCATTCAATTAACCAGGAGTTGGTTTGGTTAAATTTACTCACTTTTATCACAATCCCTGTTCCAAACCTGAAACCACTAATTTTACTTATTCCCCAAAGCGAGCTCTACAAACAAGGTTTAATTCTACAGTCCCTTCCTTGCACTTCCCTTTTTTCACAATCCTCCTTCTCCATTGTATTTGGAACATTATTATAATATTTTGGACGCTGAAGTTCTACTTTCTACTGTTCCATGTCCTTCCGCCTACTTGTTTAATGCTTGTATGCCTTTTGCTTTGGAACAACCAATGTACTTGCTCTTGTATACGTTATTAGACGAATGATATCATATTGTGTATTTGCATCAAATTATTTTTGTACTCCTATGCAAATATGCTTACTTTAGTCATCTATGCCTTCGTTTTGCAGAATTCACTGGAACACAAAGTAAGACAATCAACGAGCCTTACCAATCTCTTACAGCCTTAACACCCAACTTTGAAATTGCGACTATGATACAAATTCGCCCCATGACACATTGCACTTTAGCAAATCAGGCCAATAAACAGAAATCTTTCTAGAACACATTAACTATAAAGTGTTTAAATGTCTAAAGCTGACTAAAGCAGAGGAAATGTCGAAAAAAATAATTCGAAACCAGAAATAGTTTTTGGAGGCAAGACTTTTAATTGCTATAACAAGCCACAATTTTAGCAATTCCTATAAACTAACATCAAGAGACACACAGTGTACCTGATGGGATAAGAGAACCATCGCAAAAATTGTATTCCATGCAAATTCATTTAATAAATGCCGCAACAATAACACTTTTCCATAGCTGCAACATCAAGGGGTAAGTGTGGGTCGTACCACAAACTACACCTATTTCCTCACAAATGAAGCATGCCATTTCAAAGTGTTTTCGTACATGCTAACCTCGCCTAAAATATGCAGCAAGTGAAATATGTTTTGAAAATAAGGTGGACTAAATGCATGAGATGCGCGCTTGTATAACCTGCGTTACACAAAGTATTCTGAATCTACTCAATCGGCAGATGCATTTGCATTTCCTTTCGATAATTTTACACAATACACTAGAATTCATTAAATCTGGCAATCACTTTTAGGAAATCGTATTTTATCACAAATTACGAGTAAGTTCCTCAAAATATGGAAATTTTTATTCGTAAGTAATTTTCTTACCATATTTCTTCAGCAGACGGAGTAAACTGTCATAACTAAGATTTCTAGATTTCGCCATCAAAGCAATCCTTTAAAATAACCCTTCCTGTGTAAAATCACTGAGCTTATTCTCATCAATTCTCCTACTTTGGGTATCACATTTTAGATATCCTTCCTGTTTGGCTCCTTGAAAGATACCGATGGAACAGGGGATGGCATTCCTGATACATTAAAAAGGCCAGGTGATATGAGTCGAGTTCTCTGTTTAGTGATTTTACTGCTACAAAGTAATTTAAATCTCTGTTGCTGACCTTTTATGAAATATATTTGCTCAGTAACCTTTGATTTTGCTGATGCTATTCGGTGGCTTTAATTCCTGTGTTTTGATATGCATAAGATGAGGGCAATTGTTTTGGAAAAGAAAATATGCAGGGTAGGTAAAAGTTTACGAGCTAATGCCATTTGAAGAGGTTGTTGCATCTGCATCAGCATTATGCATAAAATGGTAAGTCTAAAAAAAGAATTATTTTTAAACAAAGAGAAAGCCAATCATGTCTCAGAACTTAATAAAGTACATATATATGTGAAGTTATCTTTTCACCCTTGCTGTGATGCAAACGACAAGATGTGATGAATCATTTAACCTTTAAAGTAGCAGTCATTTCAATCCCGAATTGACGCACCGACTGCATCTATATATGCCTATACATTATGAGGATTTTCAAAATTTTAATGCACCATTAACCTTATATACATTAAAGATGCCGCATTCTTGACAGCGGAAACCGTTCACAATTCAGCTGAATTGCTATTCGGATTTGCTGACTGGATTCAATACTTAAAAGGAAGAATAGCGCAACCTCTGCAAAGGGTCACCGGCATTACGTACCAACCACCGAAAAAAGACCCAAATTATTGACTGAGTTTACAACATCCTATGGGCGAAACTAGAGAGCCAAACCAAAACATGTGCATTTGTTGAATGTCTTCAGTGCAGAAGCAAAACAAATGGTAGGCCTATGATTTGATTGCCCTTCCACTTATAAAATAACAGTTACTGACAGGTAGGCATTAGTAAAGCTGAGATGCAATTAATTACATTACGTTAATTACATTCTTCACAAACGGAAGCAAAATGTACTGCACCTACGTAAGTAGGGTGAGTTTTGAGAAATGCTTTTGGTGATGCTGCAGCCGACGAAGGGAAACAGAAGGTCTATTGAACAACAGATCTGTCTGAGTGAAACAATGCAGTGGATTTTATTTGGAGGATGGTGGGAACATTACTAATTCCAGCATGTGTACCGGTTGGGATGTGGTCGTGTGGTAATAATATACCAGATGCAGCTTATAAAGCTGTGTTACAACATTCAAGAAGTAACACGTGTGTACTTGACAACAGATGAAATAAAATCCCACTGTGCCCTCATTATGTAGCATGGCTGAAGTGAATTGATGAGCCTCAGAATGTGATATGTTGAACGCCCCCAATTAGTGAGACCATAGAAATAGCAATAATTAAATAAACATGAGATAGCAAAGGGATTGTCAGCATAAGTTGGAGGTAAGGATAGTGTAATACTAATGTATCTTTGAAAACATTGATGTTTATGTGTATAAAAAGCCCACACCCATAGTAATTACACACTGCCGAAATGGTATACTTGACTCTCCTCTAAGTAACCATGCATTTTTGGAACAGCGCATACAGACTGCTTTTAATTACTTCCTGCACTATCACCAATACAAGGTACCAACCTTTATAGTTCACCACGATGTAAATGTCTACCCATCACTGCGTCGGTGGTTACATGAATAACTTCACCGATTAACACCACCAAGATTGGCTTGAGAGCCGTGAAAATGAATATTACGAAATGAAACTATCTGAGACCCAGTTTTGTCATTACTTGCTGGCTATCCGATTCTCATAGGAAATATGCACACCATTGTAGAGGCCGTAAAATTCAATATATCTAGTGTACTCGGAGTACAACGTGTGCATATACACTGCTGTAACTGCATACCGCAGGAATAATGTATCCCGATGTCACAGATCTCTCCTCAATGACTCAGTTTGAATGAGTCTAGCTTTAAACTGAACGTGTGATGCCAGGCAAACAGTTGTGCCGTAATAAAGCAGGAGACATTTGACAATACTTTAGGCTTTATTTCTCCCGCTTAGAACTCCGTTCTGAACACACAATTTGGATCAGTGAGTCCTCATAAACCGATGAGTAGCCCACGTCAAAGGTTTGTAGTGGAATCATTAAAAACTGGATAATAGAAGCACCAAATCCGGAGGAAGTGCCAACAAGTATCTTTTGCCATTAGAGTTTAAATGAGGCACAAAACTACACGCATCATGTGGCCTTATCCTTTAGTATGCTGTGATAAATATCGGAGGAAAAGCTCCTTGTGCATTTTGGATTCGAAGTAGCCCCCTCTTAAGAAAGCAGGTCTTCTACTTAGCTGCAGTAGTGGATTTTTCTCTTTTACTTCCACATTTAGCCTGCTTTGACATTCACTTAAATGATCCACAAATTGCAACGTTATTGAACATTCATTTCTGATGCATATGCTGCGTACTTCATTCATTTTGCCACAGTCTTATTGACATGATGCTCCAAGCATTCCATAAAGTTTTTAGTAAAAGATGGTTTGTTTTCTAAAAAAGATTGTTTTAAATTCCTTTCATAGCAGATTTACAGTTTTCGATTTCTTTATAAATGGGCTTCCACGACTGAGGCATAAAGATTGCAAAGAAATGGTGACAATGCACGAAGTAAGAACTATAACAATGGAGTTGTCTGCATGCTCAGAGGTTTGTTGACAATGCAGCTCTGGTAAATTTTGATAAGTGACTGTGTTAAGGGTTCAATCTCACCGTATGTACACCCTGCCAAAATGATACACATGTCTGTCCTTCAAACAGTCACGTACTTCTAGTACAAAGCAAACAGTTTGCCTTCGGTTTATTTGTAAACCATTGGCCGCAAAAATACTGGATGTAATTGATTACTAGTCTTTGTAACTCACCATAATATAGTTGTCCACCCATCACTGTTGGAGGACCCACGATTGACTAATACTACTGGAGTGCCAAGTATAGATGACTAATCCAAGAAGTGAATCCCATCAGAGACTTTATTTTCATGCCACAGCAGGCTGACCTCCATAGGTTCTGACAGGCGATGCACATTAAAGCAGAGCCCATCAGAAACGGTACATTGAGTACACTAGGTGTATAGTGTGTACTGTTCTGTCCAACTTGCATCATTCTAGCTACTCTCTATCAGTACTGATGGCCCAGCCTCAAAGTGACATTCGCCTCATTTAGAGCAAGCCTTTACAATATATTGAGCACTCAAATGCACTATAGCACAGCAAAATGCACTTATTAGCGTGTCTATTTGTATTACTTTACACGACTATTCTTTTCGCAACAGACAATTTGGATTAGCAAGTCTTCAAAAACCGATGAGTAGGTTATGCCGAAAATTTGCAGTTTAGGCAGTAACAATGGAAAAAGATGGCAACAGTCAGGAACAAAGTGGTGATTTGTATTTTTGGCATAAACGACTTAAATAAACGTAGAAGGGCAACGAACACTTCTCCCTCGGTTGAGCATTGTGTAAGAGCAAAATGAAGAAGAAAGTATAAATTCGGGTTTTAAGACAGCCTTCCTAGAAATGGATTGCAACTTTAGTGTAACTATGGTGGGGGATTTTTCTCTGTGACTCATGTAGGCAGCTAGTCTTGACATCCAATTTGGCGTTCTGGTATATTAGGTGTGTTCGAAAATTCATTTGAATACGTCCCCTAGGCCCTAATGCAAGGCGTTCATTGGCCTACCCATTGCTGCAGTGTATCACACTATTATCTTCAGTTGCATTCTATTTGGGTATGCCGCTACTGCCTTGTATAAGCCCATCTCTATTTCCTTGATCATGGGGCAATTCCGCATTCGTAATTCTGGTGCATCCAAATACAGGTATTTGTTTGGAGACAACTTACAATTTACCAGCATTGTAGCCGGTTTCATTTTTCAGAATAGTAATTTTATGTAGTCGTGGAACAAGAGTAAAGAGTTTGCAAGCGTCATCCACCTTATTAAGGAACCCTAATCTGATTAAAGTATTTTCTTCGCAAGTCCACTGGCCTGCGTATAAGCGGGTAAGAAATCTACCAAAATCTTTGTGACTGGGGTCTCCAAAACGACTCTAGTCGATAGGCCGTTAGCTAATTGGCCTATCTTTAAAGGCCTTGCTCCAAGATACAAACGAATTGCAATGTGAAATTGAAAATATGCCGATTGTGGGTAATGCGGGATGGAGAAGCTGCACCTCTGTTCTATCAATTTGACCTTAAGGAAGCAGGAAATGTAGGCGGTGATTAGCCATTTTTGTCCACAATCAAACCGTAAGCGCCAGTCACTACTGGTTTAAATGTTGTTAGTACTGCTTAAAATTCTAAAAGCAACGAAATATTGCCATCAATTCTGTCATAAATCACTCATGCTCTGGTCTCAAAGCGAAAAATTTCAAAGGACATTTAAAGGGTTTTTGAATGTATTTTTTATTTGCATCCAAATCTATTTAAATTGGCAGCGAAATTTTCATAATTGGCTAAGGTAAATGCTGTTAAAATGACAATAATCACTTCTAAGCACAACTGTTAGAAAAGCATGAAATTCCGCAATTTATAAAACCCTCTCCAGAATTAAAAATTTATGGACCAGAGACTCCACCATTTTATTCTAAAGTTCTACTTTTCGGCTCATGCACCTTTAAATCTGCTTTAGTATAGTAAGATTTTAGGCACGAAAGGTACTATCACAGTTGTGGACACTACTGATTTCACTGAAGAAGAATTTTTTCCTGTTGGAGAAACCCTTATGATCCCCTTACTTTCCGGTGAAAAATGTGCATGGTTCGCCGAGTGTCGAAACAAATTCTTGATTATGTTTAAATCAAAAATTCTTTGTTTATCCCTGTTTATAGTGGGAAGTATTTTGCCCAGGAACATTCCTTGCTCTACTGCATTTTAACGAATAAAGTTGGTCATTTAACGAATACAGCAGATTACTCATAGC